TATATATATATATATATATATATATAAAATATATAGAAAAATGCGTGTGGGTACTCAAATGAAAGGTCTCGATGCGCGTAACATCAGAATGAGCTTATATCTTAAAAAATATCATTGTTAAACAGAATATCTTTTTAATAAAGGATATTCAATGTATAACAAAAAATTTTGTTTTTATAATTTTTCTAAAAATTCTTAAAAATATTTCCTTTATTATAAAAGGTTAAAATTAATAAATTAATTTTAAAGAATTTTAAAGTTGAAAAAAAAACTCACTGCAAAATGACAATTTATCATAAATAGTCATATATAATATAATAATAACTAAAAGCTTGGATATAAAGAGTAACTACATACGAGGATAGCTCAATAATACGCAGTAATAATTTACTGAAGTTATTAATTAATTACATAGGAAGGAAATTTGTAACTCTACAGAATAATTGAATTGAACCAACTGGATCGAATTAGCGAATTAAACTTTCTTAAAGTACAAGTAAATTATAGCGAAAATATAATGGCATTAGTAGTAGAGTTACTCAACAAATTGTTTGGCTTAAAAGTTTGAGCTTTTACTTGTAATACGGTTTAAACAAAATAATTAAATAGACAAATACATTAGATAGAGATTAGACAGACAGAGTTAGGTCTTACCGGTGTCGTAATTCGTTGGACGACAATGCCTTGCGATAATTATCGGGGTGGTGTGGCGTGCGGTAGTGAGAAGGAGGCCGAATTACCGGTCCTCGGAGACACAGGCTCGCACTGCCACACAGTAACTGTTGGGACTACGCACTCTGGTAGTATGGCCGGGCCCCGATCAAGTGCGGCCCGGTAATCGAACAGAGGTGGTGGTTGGTGGTTCGTGGTTGGTGATGGTTAATAAGGTTCGTCATGATTTATATGTTATGGTTTATTTTATTTCATTTTCATTTATTTTATTTTATTTATTTATTTTTATTTTTATTATTTTCGTATCAGTTGCGTCCGTCGATTCGTAACAGATCGGAGGTTCGACCGAGCGAGTATTGTATTTTATTGTTTTTGTACCGCGTTCGTCGGCGGGCACCAAGAAAAATAAATATCCATTCAAATTCTATTTAGTTTCTTTTTTTCATAAGTTCAAAAATATCTATACATACATATACATATTTTTTTAGGACAGTTAGAAGCCATTTTTTATGATTGTTTGTCGTTGAATTATTTTTTTTTTACAATTATAAAATGAAAAAAAAATTTTTTTTTAAGATTAATTTTTTATTGAAAATAAATAATTTATTTTTTAATAGTAGAAATTTTTATCAGGTTTAATTTTTAATAAAATAAAATAAAACATATATAATTAATTTGTATATTTCTCTATTAATTATCTAAATTATTAAGAGAATAAGAAATATTGTGTCTCTATCTCTAAATACATAATTAAGAAATTACCTTTTATCGTGTAAAATATCGACATTTCTTAAGATATAAGCTCATCTTGATGTTACACTCATCGAGACCTTTCATTTGAGTACCCACATCAATTTTTCATATATTTAATATATTATATATATTTTATAAATACTATATATGTAAAATATATGGAAAATGTCTTGTAGGTACTTAAATTAAAGGTCTCGATGAGTGTAACATCAAAATGAATTTATATCTTAAAAATTGTCAATAATTAAGAAATGACCTTCTATCTTGTGAACTATTGACATTTTTAACGATATAAGCTTACCCTGACATTACACTCATCGAGACCTTTCATTTGAGTACCCACATCAATTTTTCATATATTTATATATATATTATATATAATAAATACATATATATTATATATGTATATATGAAAAATATATCAAAAATGCATGTGGGTACTCAAATGAAAGCTCTTGATGAGTGTAACATCAGGATGAGCTTATATCTTTAAAAACGTCAATATTGAAGAAAGTAGTGCAATTTAACAAAAGTCATTATTTCATAAAGCAAAATTTTATTTATTTATAGTTCGCAAGGTACGGAAGTCACATAGTGACTGCAAGGTTGCTAGTTTTAATTTAAAAAAATTTTATTAAACAAGTTTCCTTATGAATTTTGTATTCAATAATTTTATTTTTAATTAAATTTAAAAATCCAAAAATTTGTAGTAATAATTACTAATTATTAAAAACTTTCTTCACCATAAAACTCTAAAATTTATTAATTTTAAAAATAAATCAACGACAAACTATCATGTGCATTAAACGCATAGACAGAAACATCGAGTAATGGTTAGTAGTAGAAACATCATTATGGAAAATTGCAAATTTGTACGTAGATACAGAATTTAACGTAAAATGAACACGATGAATAACGACATAGTAATACAATAATAATTATTATAGCAGAGCTTTAGCAACACTTCAGTGATTAGTGTGTGTTCATTAATAAATTTATATGTTATATAAGTAAAAACATAATAGGGAAGATTATTATCGGTGAGTAATAATAAGTGCCGCTCAACAAACTTTACTTCGGGGAAGAGTTTAATTGTTTTTTAGGTGATATGATACGAGGGTTTAATTGAAACTGAGATTGAGGAACGATAGCTTGATCCAGAGCTTAGGAATGTTGCAAGTGATGTATGAATGAAGCGTGTGCACTGCAGTACTTTGTTTGAAGGATCAACGAGTTACATTTCTGTACAAGTGTGGGAAGTATTTTATTTGGATTAATTATTAACGATGACGCTGTGTGCGTCTATAACTGTTCATCTCCTTCTGTTCTGTTTATATTATACTATTTCTCTATTGTATATTTACTGTATTGTAATGTATAATTGTTAAACTACACCACGGAGATAATATAATGTACAAGAGGAAATGAACATGAATTAAAATCGGACAATTGATGGTATATTCCGTTATCAAGTTTCAAACTCGAGTTTAATTTATTTATATAAAAATTTGCTTCGGTTAACTGATAAGCGGTTCAAAGTTTCGCTCAAGTTTGTATATGCTTTCAGTTAAGGATCAACTTTATTAAATGTTATGTCTATGATGCTTGTTTTATTATTTAATATTTAATTGTTCAGTCATGTCGAGTGTATAATTAACAAGCTCTTTTGACGAAGAATGTTTTATGGGGAAATTATTGTTCATTTTACAGTGGCTTATTTTGCGGGATTAAGTTTTGATTATTAAATTGGTTAGAATAATTATGGTAGTTTTTTGTTTTTAAAAGTTAGTATTAGAGTTAAGTAAGTATGATAAACTTCTAATGTTATGTAAGTACGATGAAAAATTTTATTTATTAAAATGAATTTTGTTATTTTTTAGAAGCTAAATTATAATGAATCATGCACGGAAAAAAGTAAAAAAATTCACTCGAATTCCGGTGAATTTTTATAGTTTCAAACAGTACAGCGGACATCTGGTACAAATGTAAGTATTACAAAACTTAATGTAGAAAGTGTAGCCACAATTTATAATTCAATATCGAAAATGTGATTAGTAGCTGTTACTACAGTAAATAACGACTCGCATCTTAAAAAATTACAGTTTCAAACAGTAAAAATTGCCGGTTCAATATATAGTCTATACTATGAGGAGAAGGGGAAGGTCTCACACTCGGAGAATTTAACATTTGAAATAGTAAAAATTCTACTCTTAAAATATATATTTTACCAGTCCAAGCAAATCAATAATTATAGTTTGCGTTTAAAATTTACCGTTTTACTTTGTAAATATTGACGTTGCTTGTATAGAAATTTAGTAACTATAGTTTATATTTTTTACACACCATAAGATCATTTTTTAGCTACGAAATGATAAATATCAAAGTCAAAATTCTTAATTATTATACTTTAACACTTTGGACTTTCACACAGCAAATATTACTGTTTGAAATAGTATTTTCTTCCGTGTAAATAATAAATTGTAGCATTTAAATGATAAATAATTATAAAGTGATTGTTAAAATTACGATTTTACTGTTTGAATTGATATTTTTTTCCATTTGATCATTACTTACTATAAATCGACTATTATTTATAACAATTTACTTTTTTCCGTGTAAAGCATTTAATTAGTGTTCTTTTTTACAATTGCAGTTAAATCCAGTAATTTACAAATACATTAAAGACCTCAAATTTTGATCAGAAAAAAATTTATATTAAAATTTTTAATTGATATGATATTAAAATCGAAAAATTTGAAAAAAATGACAATTCTCAATGATTTATTGCAAGGAGATTAATTGTAAAAAAATTAGTGTAGATTCTAAAGACGATAGAAAAATTTTTGGTTAGTAATTTTTTGAATTATGTTAAATTTTGTAAGTACTTTGTTAGGAATATAATAATAATGTAATATTGAATATAGTTCAAGGGACTTATATTAAACTTAAAGGAACTCGATAGACTTTCATTGAGGTATAATGACTTAATATTGTAAACTTTGAACTAGACTTTAGTCGATAAATAATCTACTAAGTAACTTTTGAAGAATCTGAAGGTTAAGGGTAGTAAATTTTGTTTTATCTTTCTAGCCTTAAGTTTTTTCTTAAAGTTTATCAAATTCAAACTTATAGCTTTGAATATTTTAAGTTAAATTTATTTAGCTTAAACTTTTTATCTCAAATAATTCATTTAAAATTCTTATCTATTCAAAATAATAATAATAATAATAATAATAATAATTTATTAAAAATTCTTAGAAATCCTCAGCTTGAAAATAAAATAAAATAAGTGAATTTAACTAGAAGTTTTATAAAAAAAAAAATTTATTTTTGACTTAAAATAAACGGTGCAATTTTTCCAGTACTTACATAACAATTTTTGTAGCAAAAACAATCATAATTTCCCCAAAAGTTTATCTTTTTAAAAACATTCTTTTCCAAAAAACTGTAACTGTAAAGGTTTAGTACCTAGGTGGAGTAAATCGCTCGGTCGAAGCACTTCTTAAGCAAAAAGTGAAGAAAGATGCAGATAAGATATATGTATTTTGAAATAATCAAAGAACATGAATAAGAAATAAGATAAAATCCACAATGCTCGATAGATATATCTCAATGTTGAATAAAAATAAAATAAAACATGAATGACATACGCCCACAGACACTTGCCACACAAACTACCCTCACAAATAGTAGAGTATACACAAATCCAGATGATCTAATCCACCTGAGAAGGGATTGAATCCGAGATCTGAGATCTGAGTGACGGGTAGTTATCACAACAATAACGTAGCATGTAGCAAGTATTTGGATGTATACAATGTGGGGTGGGAAAAGGTGAAAGGCCGTTAAATGTTAAGCATTATGCAGCAAATTCATCGAGACAGACATTCGTATACACACACATACATGTATATATAATGTTAATCGAGAAGGGGCTTGATTACGCATGACTATGGGGGATTGACGTTTGACTTAGCATCTATCAACATGAATGCACTTTAATTATGATGCTGTGATGCTATGATGCAGGTGAACACCGCACACAGCAGATAAATTATGAGTCGATACACACATAGAGTCATTACTATGCCTATGATTATTATTATCATTATTGTTATTTTAATATTTATTTTGGTACAAGGTTCGTTCGAGGCTATTAATATTTTATAGTTATTTATTGAAATGCGAATTACTAGAAACTGTCTGAAATTTTTGGTCAGAGTTTTAAATTATTGCGCTAAAATTTTTGTGATTTTTTTTTTAAATAGTTAATTTTTTTTTTTTTTTATTAATTAATGTATATTTTTTTTATAAGATACAATAAAAAATTAATAATAATTTTATTTTTTGTTTATAAAAAAATTTTTTTTAAAACAAATAAGAATTTTAAAAATAAAGAATTTTTTTATCCTAAAATTAATTAATTCAAATTTAATGTTTCAAAAAATTAGTTAAATTTTGAAAATAATATTTTGCTTGAATAAAAATTTTTTTTTGCTGTAATTAACACTTTTTAATTATTTTTTTAATAAAAAAAAATTTTTATAATGAAATTTAATATTTTTTTCTAATAATATATCTTTTATGGAGACAAAAAATTTTAGACAGCAAATGGAAGGTGCATTACTGATAAAAAATAATAAATATAATAATAAAATCGAAAAATGAGGGGCTAAGTGATGCGACTAAGTGATATATACAAAAAAAGTGACAAAATGTTTAAAAAATTGTAAGTTTAATAATAATAGTGATAATAATAATTATAATAGTAGTATTAAGAATAAGAATAATAGCAAGAGGATGAAATGAAGATAAAGAAAAATGTAAATGGTCTTTTTGGGATTCATGAGCAATTGTAGTGAAATTACTCACGGCTTCCGCGTCTTTTGTCACTGGATAGACTCATTGTTCTGCCGAGCTCGCCCTTGGCAGCAGCTTTTTTCAAGGATCGCAACACTTCTTCTGGATCACGGGCTGACCTTGCTACGGAGCTGCGTCGCCGGTCGCGGTTGTAATAACCACTTGGCATTTCAGTGTCGACTATGCTTCCACCTGATAAGAAAAAAATCTGGGATTAATTTTTATTTTTTACAATTTTTTCTAATCACTAAAAAATAAAAAAAATTTAATCAATAAAATTTTTAATTTAATTTCTTATTTTTTAATTACTAAAAAAATTTTTTTTATCAATAAAATTTGTAAATTAGTTTCAATAAAAAATTTTAATTGATTTTTTTTATAATTGCTAAAAAATAAAAAAATTTAATCAATAAAATTTGTAACTTAATTTTATTAAAAATTTTAACTTTAATTTTAAAAATAAATAAAAAAGGACTTTAAAAAACACATACGTTTGCTATCAGTACCGCCTTGACTTTGAAAGCTGCTCCTCCTGCTTCCGGGAAGCGATCTGCTGTAATCCTTGCTAAGTTCATAAGTCTCAACTTCTAATTGTTCGGATTGTGAGGAACCGCGTCGAGAGTTTGCCTGCCAAGCGTGGTCTGGGTGGAGGAAATAAGGTTCCGGACTTCCACTATCGCTTTGAGTGTCTTCGCTGTAACTTCGCTCTCGAATCTCCCGTCTAAGTAACCTCTGCGCTAACGCTACTTCCATTGACAGCGAGCCACGCGGTGAAGCGTAAGGAGATTTCCCTGAGCGGATTCCCCGAGGGTCTTCCAATCGATACCTGCTCACACGATCCATCTTTATTATATTACACGTCCATCATATCAAGGTGTTCATCATTTTCAATTAATTCTATGATTATCAACTACTTACTTTATAAGTAAAATTTACAGATAATAACTAGGATTTTTCTTTTTCAATAATTTATAACAAAAAAATTTAATAATAAAATTCCACAAGTAGAAATTGAAAAAAAAAAAAAAACCTTAAGCTTTCAAACTCTCGATAAATTTATTTCTAATCATTATTATACACTAATTAAATTATTTTTATATCTAATTTAGAATTTTATTTTTATTGGTTTAAAAAAACCAATACCCATAACCTGTTGGTGTCTTTTTCTTGTCTAAGAACGTCCTTCAAAATTTTCAATAAATTTTTTTCTAATTATTATTATAACGCGTTTTAAATTTTATATTTTTTAATAATTAGATTTTAATTAAATAAAATTGATTCGACAAAAAACTTTTTAAAATTATTTTCTTGGTTAAAAAATTTTTCTCTTAATTAAAGTTAATTTTTTCCCGGAGTAAAACTAATAAAAAAGTGTTAATAACTAACCAAGCTTCCCGATCAGACTCAAAAGCGTTTTGCAACTCAACAGAACACTCCCCGAGGAAAATATTATCACCATCAGGATGGCAGTCCCAAAGGGTAACATCGATCGTTTTGTCCATTAGCTTCTCACCAGCGATCCCGGTAAACGTCAGATTTGCGTTCCAAATAGGATTTTGCGTCGGACCAGCGACGTCTGTTTGCAGAGAGCTCTGATCGACGCTGTGACAAACAACAAACGACTTGATTATAAGCAATGTGTAATAGACAACACACATTTATTTATTTTATCTTTTAATTAAATTAAGGCATTGTGTCGGTTATAATTATGTTAGCATTCAATTACCTGGCTGGAATGAGAACGAGTTTGGCGACAGCTTCCGGTGGCGTACCATCGTCTCGAACACAAAGCTCATCAGCTGCCAAAACTGACACTACCAGCTCTTTCCTGTCTGTTTCGTACCACACGTGAATCTGTACACGACCACTTACTGGTCGATCTTTTGGTATTTTTTCCTAAAAAACAAACACCCGATTGAAATAATAATCAATTATTGCGATTGTAACATTTTTTAAATAAAAAAAATTTTTTTTTAATATTTAAAAATTAAAAAAAAATTTTATTTAATATTTAAACAAAACATTTATTTTTTTAAATATTTTTAATATTTAAAAATTAAAAAAAATTTTCATTTAATATTTAAAAAAAAAATCTTAATTTTTTACTCTTTTATTTTGTTTGCGAGTCATGCGGATGGACTTGTTAAATTTGCATTAAAGTTTGCATAGAATACCAAGTTAGAAAAGAAGAAATGCCGGGCATGAGACTGCCTTTTGCAATGTTGCAAAGTACTAAGTAAAAAAAAAAATAAAAAACAAATGAATGAAATTTTGAACTTAAATAAAATTTACAAAAGTTTTATTCACATGAAAAGGATGCATTTGACATGCAAAGCGCACACATGCGCAACTTTTAAGCTGGAAATTATTTGTCACTTTCGAACGTGACTGGACGGTTCCGGGTGAAACGATAAGGCTTCAGCTGAAGTTCAGGAAATATGAGCTCTGGATAATTTACGATGTTTGATCATAGAGAAAAATTTTTTTTAGGTAAAAAAATAATTCATAATTTATCCTTGTAATTACATGTCTCTAATATTTGTAAATAAAATTTATTTTGTTATTTAAAAATGCGCTTTATTTAAAAACAATTAAAATTTTTGTATGGAGATTTTTTTTATTACAATTTTTTTTAAGAGTTGAAATTTTTAAGAAAAATATTTACTTTAATAAATTTATTTTTTTTTTTAGTGAAAAAAAAAATAATTTTCATGATTTTTTAATGAATTATCTAAAAAATTAGTTGGTTAATTTTTTCAAACATTAAAAATTCATTAAATTTTTTTGTTAAAGATAGTTTGACCCCCAAGAGCCCATTTTTTGTAGCGAGCTCCTCCCATGAAATGTTTTACGTCCATTCTCATTTCCAGGCTCTCCAGGGTGTGTTGAGACACCATAAATCGTGGAACACCTTCTCGTTTACCCGGGATTTCCAGCGAAATAGAGCGAGTAGCAAGAAGCAACTTTGGCATTCTTGATGGTACCACTACTTTAGTGTGTACACAGTAAAGGGGGCAAGCAACATCCCCGAATAAGGTTGTATGTTATGTTATGTTATTGCACGGTTGGGAGGAATATCTGAAGAGAATATGAGCTGAAAAGTATATATACTTAGATGTGATTATTTTACGCCAATGTATATATACTTTTGAGAGAATCTATATACATTGAGAAGAGGAAACACAAATAGATAAAGCATTCCGAGACATGTTCAATGTCCTGATTTAGTTTAAATCATATTATTCAATTTAACACCTCAGTCTTGGTTTTTCCCTCGTATTTTATTTTAAAGTTATATTTATTCTTAGTCTAGTACTTTTAGGTACTTGATTATTCATGAAATACTCGGGAAATATTCTCAGAACAAGACTCCTGGTAAATATAGATTTGTTTTGTTTCCTTTGTAGGATATTTTTATATTTTTATTCTCATTTGCATCATCTACTTGCTTCGACCTACGCACATTTTTTTACAGCTATTTTTTTAGTACTTTGAAGATATTGATTCAATTTTTAATTTAATTATAATTAGCCCCTTTTCAAAAATTTTTTAAATAACAGTAGCTTGAATAAGAAAAATTTTGCGTTATTAAATAATGACTTTTGTTAAATTGCACTGTACTTTCTTAACTATTGACGTTTTTAAAGATATAAGCTTATCCCGTTGTTACAATCATCAAGAGCTTTCATTTGATTATCCACATGCATTTTTGATATATTTTTCATATATACATATGTATAATTTATATAAATATATGAAAAATTGATGTGGGTACTTAAATGAAAGGTCTTGATGAGTGTAATGTCGGGGTGAGCTTATATCTTCAAAAATATGATTAGTTGATAAGATACAATGTCATTTCTTAATTATTGACATTTTTTAAGGAATAAACTCATTTTGGTGTTACACTCATCGAGACCTTTCATTTAAGTACCCACATGGCATTTTTTATATATTTTACATATATGGTATTTGTAAAATATATATAATATATAAAATATATGAAAAATTGATGTGGGTACTCAAATGAAAGGTCTCGATGAGTGTAATGTCAGGATGAGCTCATATCTTTAAAAATGTCAATAGTTCACAAGATACAAGGTCATTTCTTAATTATGTGTCGAGAGAAAGAGTATTAAAAAAAAAACTGATTCATCATATGACTATTTTAGAAATAAAATTTTTGTTATTCTCTTAATAATGTAGGTTATTTTTAATATTTTAATTTAAAAATTTAAATAATTTAATTTATAGTCTAAAAAACTAGTGTAAAGAATTCATATATTTTTTTGTCACTTTCTTTGAAGTATAAAATTTTTTTTATAGTTCCTAAGTACAAAAAAATATTAATAAAAATATAAAAGTCCCAAAAAAATGATAAATTTATTCAAAAATAAAGAAATAAATAAATATTAATAATAAATAAGCTAAAATAAAAATGATGAATATTGGAACTGATACTGCGCATGCGCGTGCTTAGTTCTACTGAGTTCCAACACTTCGTTAACTTAAAATTAACCTTAAAAATAAAAACCAATATATTTACACAAATGAAACTTTGATTATATTTTCTAAAATGATTTTTGAAAAAAGGCTAATTACAAATATTTATAATAAAAAATTATTCAATTGCTTATTTTCGTATATTAGACATTATCAAAGTCAAAGTTACTTCGTAAAGAGCCAAAGTACTAAAAAAATCTGAATTAATACGGAGACTTACGGCATTCGAAGGAAGAATACAATCTAATCAGATAAAAATATAAAAAAAAAAAGACATTAACGATAATTAATAATAAAAATAAAAATTCTAAGAATACTAGATATTCGTGCCAGTTGGGAGAGAGTAGCGTGAGGGCGAGTTATGCTAAACTTTTGTTTGTTGTTGTTATCATAGCCATAACTTACATTTTCGTCATTCGTCAGCGTTATTTTTTCGGTAATTAACTTTTCTTTTACGGGACACAGAAATGACGGTGAATTAACGTAGAGACATAAATAAAACAGTTTAAAGGCGTAGAGTATAATAATAATAATAATAATAATAATAATAATAATAATAATAATAATAAACATAATAATAATAATGTAATGACAAGAAAAGACACAACGGATACACCAAAAAATAAAAAACAAAAAAAATCTTTTTTTTTTTAAATAAAAGAGTGAATGGAAGTCAAGAATTTTAAAATTTGTTTTTCAATTTCATTTCTTTTCTATCACGTTTATTCTCATACATTCAATTTTTTACATTAAAATTGATTTATTTTTTTTTTTTAATTTATTTTTATACATGATCTGTCTAATATCTAAGTCTAGACATGATTCACTTGAAAATTTAATTTAAATTTAAATATACAATATAACTATATAGATTGATTTATTTGTTTAGAAGATTTAACTACATATTTTAATTATTATTTATTATTACAGTCAACGGAGTTCCATTGGTATGTAAATTTGGCTGTAATTCACCTGGAATTAACAATGGAATACCGTTGCAAATTGGACAGTCTCAGACTCCAAACTATATGTTAAATATAGTCTATAAAAAAAACAATAATTACATTTTTAAAAGTACTTTGAGATCAATTTTTTTTATTATTTTTTTAATTGGGAAATTAGATAGGGATTTGGCGCACTCGCCCCAACTGACACATTTTTTTCAAAAATAAACGAGTGGTAATATATAAAAAAAAAAAAAAATAAGCATTTTATATTGGAGCGAGAGGACAAATTGTTTATTCAGATTGTTAATTCAGTTTTAATGAAATTGAAAGCAATGAAATAAAATATATCAGAGATCAAGAGCCGAAAATGAATGAATTTTTTCTAATAAACTATAGTCCTATTCTACCGAAGCGTTTGTCTAACTACACTATAATAAATAGTATGTACTGATAATTTATATTATTTATTGATTTATTGATTGTTACTGTATTGTTTGTTAACAATTACGAAATTGTTGACAAGGTAGAAATCGGTAGATAAATAGACTAGATCTTTATTATTGAGGTTAGTTCAAATATTATAATTATAGTCAAGGATTTTACTGTAAAAAGACCTGAATTAGATATAGTAGTCATTTTCTCACCACGAATTTTTTTTTATTCAGTAAAGAGTGTCTATATTTCGCGTTTCAGACACCATAAGGGCGCATAAAAAATTTTTTTTATGAAATTTCGTCCGAAATGTGCAAAAAAAAATTTTACAAGCTCGTAAGGCTCTCGGGACCTATATCGGATACTATAAGGGCGTATAATAAAAAGTATATTATTTTTTCTAAGTAAAAAAAAAATGTTTAGTTAGAAGAAGTATTTTTTTTTCATGAAATGTCCAGAAATGCAAAAAAAAAATTTTCTTACTAAAAATTTTTTTTGAACTTGGAAAAAATAATAGAATTTTTATTATACACTCTTATGACATCTATAACGCGATTTATCTATGTTACATTATATCTTTTATGGAATAAACTGAAACAGAACGGAACAAGTGATCGCGTGTGTGTTAATTTGATTCGCCGAATTACGAGCGCGGTCCAAACTTTTGCAGGAAATAATCAAATTAAGCATGAAAGTTTGTTAACTTTGTAAATTATTTTTGAAAATAGATAAATTCGTTCTCTTTTCTTAGATTTTTAATTACAGTTTTTTTCTAGCTTTACTAATTAAAATCTTACGGATTATTTTTTTTGTTGAGATTTTTATTGCACATTATAGAGATTTCGATAATCAAAAAAATTTTATAAATTTATTTTTAAACTAAATTATATTTTTAATGATATTTTAGAGTCCAGTTAATTTTACTTTATTTATTTAGAAAAAAGTTTTTAGATAAAAATTGAAATTTTGGATTGTCTTTTTTGCAAAAAAAAATTATTTTTAATTTCTCTGGTGTTCAATTTAAAAATTCTCATATATAATTCCGTTTAAAATTTAATTATTTATTAAAAACTTTTTTTGATTAAATTCAAAAGTCTGAGATACAGATAAAAGCTTGTAAAAGACATTAAAAATTTTAATAATCATCAATAGGTATTTATATATTGATTTATATTAATTTAAAATGTATATATTTAATTTTAATAAGGAAAAGACGATTAATTGTCAAAGCTCGAATATATTTAGCACCGTTAAATTTATCTCAACTCGTCTTTATTGTTAAATACCCCGCTACTATATTTAATTTTTTATTTTTGAATAATTATTTATTTTTGTCCTTTGTTAACCGCGTGACGCAAGAGCATTTCCACGTGCGGTGTTGTTAACTACTGTTGATTGTACGTAAGCATCATGTGTCTCATCTTCCGACCCTTCACTTACAATAATATATATAGTATCATACGATAAATCATATATTTATATTTATATATTCCATATTTTTTAATATTTATTTTTATATAGACTTCAAAAAGTTATTCGCTAAACAATTCAATTTTTTACTCTATGGTATTTATCATTTTTATATACTTCAATTATTTATTTAATATATTTTTCTGTTAATATTTCGATGCCAATTTTTTTAGTATCACAGTAGTGAAAACGTAAAGCTTAATATTTATTTTTAAAATAATCATGTGCTATTAAGACGACAAGTGCTTTATGTTTTATTAAATTAATTATTGTGATTTGGTTAAAGAAAATATTTTTCCAGTGCTTGACGATAAAAGTACCTGGGATAAAATTCAATACAAAATTTGGGCATCAAAGTCTCTATGCGATTGCCGTGACTTGTGAAGTATAAATAAATAAAATTTTGCTTTATTAAATAATGACTTTTGTTAAATTGCACTGTACTTTCTTAACTATTGACATTTTTAAAGATATAAGCTCATCCTGATGACACATTCATCGAGAGCTTTCATTTGAGTACCCACATGCATTATTGATATATTTTTCATATATACATATATATAATATATATTTTAAAGATATAAGCTCATTTCGATGTTACACTCATCGAGACCTTCCATTTAAGTACCCACAAAACATTTTTCATATATTTTATATATATGATATTTGTGAAATATATATAATATATATAAATATATGAAAAATTGATGTGGGTACTCAAATGATAGGTCTCGATGAGTGTAACATCAGGGTGAGCTTATATCTTTAAAAATATCAATACTTCACAAGATACAAGGTCATTTCTTTATTATGTATCTAGAGATAGAGCATTTTCGAATGCAGCCTAGATAAAAAATTATTATAATTTTGAAACTTATAATAATTAAGCTACATTTGAATACAGTGCAAAATAATTTGAAATAATCAATCATAATTGTAGCTAAAAAATTAATTTTAACCTTTTTAAACTCGAGAAAAAAAATTTGGTTCTCCAAAATTTTAATTTAAAAAATGCTATCCTAAAATAAGCAAGATTTTATCAAACAATAAATACTTAAAAATGTTCTTTTATACACAAAAAGAAAATTAAAAATTACTATAATTTTCAAATTTTTATTAATTAAGCAAAATTTGAACCAAGTTCAAAATTATCAAGTGAACAATTATGCTTCTTAGTCAATTATTGATCTTCAAAATTTTAGTTAAAAACATCTTATTTCCTACCAAGCAATGTTTCTAAATGTTCTACCCCTAAATTTTTGGAAAATCATAATCAAAAAATGAACAAAGTTCAATTTTATTCCAGGTACTCTTAACCATGAATTATTTATATATTATTAATATCGATAGATTAAATAAATAACTACGTGCATTATTTATAAATATTTACAAGAGTATTCGTCTTTGTAACGTGACAGGTCGTCAGAGTAAAACAAAACCTCTTAATAATTAATAAATACATATTTATGTATTCAATTAGTGAAAATTGGCACTCAAAAAGATCTATGCGGGAGATATTTGTAACAAAATGTTTGTATCCCTGTCATATTTTGGTACATCGTATACATTAATATTAATAATAGCAACTAGCGATAGTACTTTTCTATCAATTAATAAATAAATAAATACAGTCGGTAATTATATAATAATTAAATCGACTAATTAAACTATGTACAAAAGAATAACAACGGCTCTAAGCCGGCAAATAAATTTATCTATAAGATTGTTTTGTTAAATCAAAGTTTTCGACTCTGTAACTGAATTGTCTGATAAGTATAAATAATCAATTAAGTTAACGGCGAAATAAACAGTAAAACGACGGAAAGATAGGAATAAGTAGAGAGAGCAAATTATAAAATAAATTAGTTAAGTTAGTAAAGTATAATAAGAATAAGAATAAGTGAAGTGAAAAGTTGTTAAAAGATGAAGAGACAAATGAGGAGACAAAAGTGTTTATAAAACGAAAAATAAATAGACAAAGGTCACATTTTGTAGACTCAATTTATCAACTGGTTATACCGGCGTCTTTGGCAGTTTCCTGCGGGTCGGTGACGAAGGCGTTTTATCCGTTTCCGAGTCTGCAAAACCACCAGTTTATTTTTTTTATTATTTCGTAAAGTTTACACAGAAGAAAAACTTTTTTTACTTTTAAATAGTTAGAAACTCGCGAAAAAATTTTCTGGTCGCCTTTTTTGATCAAATATAGCTTTATATCTTCATATCAGGCCTAATATAATTTTTTTATCAAAATTAGTGTTGAAAAATTCCAACAGGTGGCGTATTGTCGCGGAATTCTCTCAATAGAAGAGAGTTAATTTTGAGAAATTAAATAATAAAGTAAAAATAATTTTATTATTCTTTAAAAAAGCTTATTTGATGCTTTTTTTAAATTTAATTAAATATTAGACCAATTTTTGCTTAATAAATCGTGTAAATTATCCAAAAATTAAAAAAAAATTGAAAAGTGACAATAATTTATTTTTTTATTTTCTTACAGAGCTTCTTAAGGTTTTATATGACCAGATCTGACTATCTATATCCAAAAAACGAAAATTGACCATATAAAAAAATTTTTTGATGCAATTCAATTGTTTTGGGAACTCATGAAAATTTTTCTGGTTACTTTTCTCAATCAAAAACGGCTTTATAAGTATATTTAAGGCTTGGCATGGTCATATATGCCTATATACAATTTTTGATTAAAATTAGTGTTGAAAAATTCCAACAGGTGGCGTATGGTCGCGAAATTCTCTCGATAGAAGAGAGTTAATTTTGAGAAACTAAATAATAAAACAAAAATAATCTTTTCACCTTGCAAAGAAGCTTATTTGGTGTTTGTATTTAGTTTAATAAATTGTTAGACCAATTATTTGCTTAATAAATCATTTCAATTGTCCAAATTTAAAAAAAAAAATTGAAAAATGACAATAATTTATTTTTTTAAAGAGCTTGCTAAGGTTATATATGACCAGATCTGACTATCTATAGCCAAAGAACGAAAATTGACCATTAAAAAAAATTTTTTACCATAATTTAATTGTTTTGGTGAGTAAATATATTTTTCTTCTGTGTAAATTTTAGTAAAACTTGCTGATTATATATTTGTACAATGTACAATGTAATTGTGTGTTTGCTTGGTGGTGGATGGCGGGTGTGCAGTTGGGAGTATCGGATGCTGGTCAGGAAGAGGTTTGAGGTTAGAGTGCCCACTTAAGGGGTTTCAACTTAATTGCATTGTTGTAGTTTAGACATAATGGTATTATATATGTTGTATGTTAAATGTTATCTCTAGTTTATAGGACTAATTATCGATTTATAACTTACCTAACTGAAGACCTAAGTTTCCAGATGTTTTAGATGATGGCGGCGGCATACCGGGCTCGTCCAGCGAATCGATGCCCCTTAACAATTTTAATCAAATTATCAGTTATATCGCTCTTGGTATCTTCACGCTTGTTTGTTAAGTCTATTCATAACTTTCGTCCTGGGGTCTGTTTTCCGGTAAATTGAGCTTTTGATTAGTTTGAGCTTTCAATTATTTGGAATTTCTATTTAAATTAATATTGAAATTTATTAATGTCCATCGTTCGAGCAACTTTCGTCGGGATCACATAAATCATTGAATCATTGAATCTGTAGTTTACGGTGGGTCGTCTCTGGTGTATTTTCCTAATCTACTGAACACCTTTTATACTTTATTGACCTATATATCCTGGTCCTAACTACCACCTGACCTTTTTGCTGGGCTCCAGTGACTAGAGAAGTCCATTTTATCCCTTTGACTCTTACCCTTAGTCCCGACGTTAGTCATCCCCGGTTCTAACTAATTCTAATAATTTTCAGCAATTTATACCTTTGGCTTTTAGGTTTGTTGTAAATTCTAGGTCTCTTGTTTCTCTGCTTTATAATGTTAAGTTGCTTACCCTTTTGAAAGTACTTTAACTAATAATTAGTGTTAAGTAATCCTGTTTATTGTTTTTATAAATTTTTGTTTCAAAAGTCCTATTTTTTATAGCAAAAATTTATTAAATGAGAAGATTTCTCTTGTAAAAGATTTTAATTTTTTAATTATTGTTATTATAAAAAATTACAGTTTATATTTTTTACATATCATATAAATCGACTATTTTTTATTAGTTTACTTTTATTCGTGTAATTATATTAATAAATTTTTATTAAAAAAAAATTTATATGATTGGACTTTTAATTTATTTGATTAAACTGATAAAAAAATTAAAAGGAAGTTTTATTAATAGTAAAAAAAAAAGTGCCGAAAATTAATTAGCGGATTAAATTAAAAATAATGAGTGATAAATTTAGACTACTCGACAGATTGAAAGTTGATTAGTACAAGTTGTACTCCATAAATGGATTTGTTGCTAATTTAATTACGGTTGAAGCATAATTAAGCTTGTTAAGAAAGTTATGACGATAATAACTGTAGCTATAACTATAACTATAACTATAACTATAACGATATTAATACTTACATATCTCCTACATGCTCAACAACAAGTTCAGCAACATCACTAGAGCGTTCAATTATCTGTGCCACATCCTCGAAGTTTCGATCGATGAGAGACACTCCTGACCATTCGAGTACCTGGAATTGCACCAGAAAATAATACATTTTTTTTTTCACTTTATTTTATATTATATAAATATAAATTCTTGTTAAATGTCAGTTGTTCTTCTGACAGTGATGGCAAGTCAATTTTCATCAATCTCAAATAACCTTTGACATTTTTCCAATATTTTTAAAACTCTTGAAAATTGAATTTGTGAATTAGAACAAAAATGTTCAAAATTCTGTTATTATTATTATTATTATTATTATTATTATTCTTAATTTTTAGATTGACAACAATAATAATAAACTATGTGACTGCCGTGAATTGTGAACTATAAATAAATAAAATTTTGCTTTATTAAATAATGAATTTTATTAAATTACACTGTACTTTTTTAAATATTGACATTTTTAAAGATATAAGCTCATCCCGATGTTACACTCATCAAGAGCTACCATTTGAGTACCCACATGCATTTTTCATATATTTTATATACTTCATATATATGATATTTATAAAATATATGAAAAGTACATGTGGGTACTCAAATGAAAGGTTTCGATGAGTGTAATATCAAAATGGACTTATATTTACGAAAATGTTAAAAATTAAGGAATGACGGTTACATTTTGTTAACTAATGATGTTTTTAACGATATAAGCTCATCCCGATGTTACACTCATCAAGAGCTTTCATTTGAGTACCCACATGCATTTTGATATAGTTTTCATATATACATATATATAATATATATAAATATATGAAAAATTGATGTGGGTATTTAAATTAAAGGTCTTGATGAGTGTAACATCGAGATGAGCTTATATCTTTAAAAATATCATTAGTCGACAAGATACAATGTCATTTCTTAATTATTGACATTTTTTAAGATATAAACTCATTTCGATGTTAAACTCTGCAAAACCTTTCATTTAAGTACCCACACAGCATTTTTTATATATTTTACATATATAGTATTTCTAAAATATATATAATATATAAAATATATGAAAAATTGATGTGGGTACTCAAAAGAAAGGTCTTGATGAGTGTAACATCAAGATGAGCTTATATCTTTAAAAATGTCAATGGTTCACAAAATATAAAGTCATTTTTTAATTATGTATCTAGAAATAGAGCATTATATTTTTTTGTAATTTTCAAACTATTAAAAATAAAAAATAACATTTCAGATTAATTTTTTTTAATCGGATAATATAAAGAAAAAAGACTTTAATGATAGTTCGATTTCTTATTTTGAGAAAATCCTTACAAATAGTCTTCTACGCGGTTGCTTTGACACAGTAATATCTCAAAGGATTTAAGAATATACCTGACGAGACACATTTGTCCCAGTGACACCCACACAGCATTTTTTATATATTTTACATATATAGTATTTCTAAAATATATATAATATATAAAATATATGAAAAATTGATGTGGGTACTCAAAAGAAAGGTCTTGATGAGTGTAACATCAAGATGAGCTTATATCTTTAAAAATGTCAATGGTTCACAAAATATAAAGTCATTTTTTAATTATGTATCTAGAAATAGAGCATTATATTTTTTTGTAATTTTCAAACTATTAAAAATAAAAAATAACATTTCAGATTAATTTTTTTTAATCGGATAATATAAAGAAAAAAGACTTTAATGATAGTTCGATTTCTTATTTTGAGAAAATCCTTACAAATAGTCTTCTACGCGGTTGCTTTGACACAGTAATATCTCAAAGGATTAAGAATATACCTGACGAGACACATTTGTCCCAGTGACACTTATAAAGCTCCTAATAATTTACGAGTTATTTTATATACCACTACTTTCTTTTTTTTTAACTTCCCGCTAAGAAAAATTGAAAAATTTTCTTGTTATAACTTCAAACATAATACAATAACATAATAATAATTTTATGAAATAAAAAGCGTAATATTTCATGCTGCAAAATATCATTAATGCAATATAAGTATAATCGGATTACTTATAACTTATAATATAGTATTTGACAATATATAATACACTAAAGTAAGTATGAGCGTAATTCTATTCAACGTCCTTAAAAAACGCCTCGAAGAAGTATTGTATGTCATTCGTTATTTTTTATACATACTCTATACACTTTTCTGTCTTCAAGTGCAATACAATTCGTACTTCGGACAAGTGTATTGCAAACATACTCATTTTTTATTATTTCTTTTCTTTTATTATTGTATCATACTTATATTTCATTGTATGACTAGACGGTAGAATTTGAAAAAAAAAAAATAAATAAAAATCCCAGCAGTTATATCATCGAAAAAGTACAAAAAAATCCATGAATAAGACGGAGAGAGATAGATAGGATCGAGTGAGGGACTTAATATTATATTGCATGACGTAACAAACATCGACATAACTAGGGGGGGAAATAAAGGCCCGAGGGCGTTCGATAACACGACATTCTGGGAGTTTCGTGCAATTAATTACAGGAGAGGCGAATCTTTCTCTATTAACAACAGCCGTGGGCAATGTTTCCTGACAATTAGAGAAAGTAATACAGCACACTGGGTCCTAGTCGAGTACCTAGAGCTTTTGATAAAAAAATCCAAATCTAAATTATATGGTCTAGAAATTTTTGCCAGATTTTTTAATTACACTTTCTAAAAATGAAATAAAAAAATTTTTGAACTGTTTTTTTTGGTTCAAATAAATTTTACTTGATTAAAAAATTTTTTTTAAATTAATTAAAGATAATCAAACTCTTAAAAATTATGTTTTTACAATTTTAATTTAAAGATTTTTACTGAAAAAAAAAAAATTATTTTTATTCAATAGGAAAAATTTTGAACCAAGAAAATAAAATTGAAGAACATCAATTACTTTATTTGAGTAAAAAAATTCTTAAACTAAGAAATTTTTCCTGGTTTAAATAAATTTTAATTGATTCAAAAATTTTTCTCTTGATTCAAGTTAATTTTTTTTTCAGTGTAGTAAGGACGTTCTTAAACAAGAAAATGACACCAATAGGTTATGGGTATTTTTTATAAAAAAATAAATACCGCTCGTTTATGTTATTTTTGATAAAAAATACTTGTTATATCTTCAATTAATGATTCCCATTTTTTTAAAACAATCCTAAGAAAAGTACGATTGATATTTAATAAATTTTAAGTGCTAATATTTCAAAATTTAGTGCCGCAAGGACTATTTAAGAAAATTCCTGCGTATAGAGAATACTTATGATATACTTTAATATTTTTGAAAAATTAGATTTTAGTTTAATAAAAATTAAATGATTAATTAATTTATTTGTGAAATATAAATTGATAAAATTCTTAAATAAAAAATTCTTTTTCTGTTAATCCTCTTCATTTTTTATTTTACACTAAAAATTTAAAAAAATAATAAAAATTTTAAGAACATTTTTTTTTAACCTTTACTTTTTTTTTGCAGTATAATATTTTACGACAAAAAATTAAATAACCCAAGAAAGGTTTTAGAAATCTCAAGACAGAGACAAAAATACCGGGAATAAAAAATTCAAAGTAAAGAAACCCAAGTAAATGGTATTTTCTTGTTCTTACATTTACATATTCATATTTTTATTTCCTAGTAGCTTCCAGATGTTCAATGAAACTCTCATTACCGGAATGCGCCCTCGTATATATTTATTTAATAAGTTTGTCTCTTCCCCAGAGGATATTTCAGAGTACCGTTACGTTTTACTTCGACATTACCGCGAGTACATATGTACAACAATAACTCTAGAGTAAACAGACGAAGATATGTGTCTTGAGTATTGAAAAAATTTCGACTTTTTTATTTAAAAAAACTCGAATTTTTCACAACGAATAAATGAGCCGTAGTTTTTCCTTGAGTCACGCTAAAAAAACTTCTTGCGAATGTAATAAGCAACAAACTGAAAAAGCTCGATAGAAAAAGCAAATTAATTGTTTTAACTTTTTACGCCGGCTGATAAAAAAGTGTTGGACATAAAAATAAAAATAAAAATAAAATGAAACATGATGAGCGTTTTATAGATTAAGTTTACTTTTATACAACCTTATCTCATGTCCGCGTAAGGTGACGACACCATGGATGTACAACCGTGTAAACATTTCACACACAACTCGGCAAGGCGACCTATTTTCACACCCAGTATGTACAACCAACGCTGACACACATTAGTCCATTAGGATCCTCGCACACAAGAGTGCAAGTTAAGCTTGTGAAAAAAATAACATCAGGAGTATAGAAAAATGTTTTCTAAACCTCATAATCATACTCGTACTTGATGTTCACAGAGGATTTTATTCATGTAATCCGATCGGTAGTCCTCGAACATATTCACATAAATATTAGACCAGACCATTCAGCTGTAATGCAATAGTCGGGAAATTTTTTAGCCGGATACTCAAATAAGCGCGCTCGATGTTTTGCAGAATTATTTACCTCGTTTCATATTTTATGGGAACGTAAAATTATTTTTAGAGGTAATGGAACACTTGTAAGATCTTTGGGATTTAGTTTTTTAGTTTATGGATTTTTTTTATTGGAAAAAAACGATTTATTTTTAAGTTGTTAAAAAGTTTTATCAAGTTTCTAATGGAATATTCATTTTGGTTGATAGTTTTATTTTTTTTTTGTAAATTAACTTCTGTATCTAGTCTAGTTTTTTGAGGTTAAATAGGTCGTAAATATGTCTGGGTATTTATAAGGTCAGAGGTTTAAATGAGAAAAAGTTTTTTTATTAAAAATATTTTAGGTATTAAATAATTATTTTTTATGACGTTAGTTCGGAAGAAAGTTCGATAAATTATTATTATTATTTTGGGCGAAATATTGAAGATATGAAAAAATGATAAGAAATCTTTTTTGTAGAAAATTAAATTTGCATTAAAAAATTTTTTATAAATTCTTTTATATTTTTGATAGAAAAATTATTATCTCTAATACTTATTATTTTTAATGATAAATAGAAAAATAAAAGAGAACATGTCAACAATAGCTTGTTGTCGATAGGTTAATTAAATAACACGCAGACGCCTGAGTGTTGATAATGGAAAAAAATTCAA